GGATACACCAAGAATATACGTAATATGAAATTAGTTAAAAAAAATAAAACTCTGTTTTTCAGGTTTACCATTCTTTAAACAAAACGCTTCGACAGAAAACACACAGTGTGCACAGGTCTAACCCATGATGGTAACTGATAGTATTTGGAAAACAGGTACGACATTTGCTAGATGAAGCGACAATTGCCCCTTGGCTAAATTTCTTAACACCATATAAGTGACAATTTCAAATGTGGAACGTATTTCTGTTGTTCCCTGGAAATCTCATTGATTTGTACACGGATATATATTTAAATTTTATCAACTCTTAAAATTAAAAAAAAAAGAACCAGTTTTTCTTTAAGTATAATGGTTGTCTTGCTAACGACATTTCCTTAGATTATTTTCAGAAATGTTTTGATAATGCTCACGTTAAAGGAATGGAACGTCAATAAGAAAATAAAAAATAAGCATCCAACTGATTTTCACGTATTTTGTCTTCCTTTCTTAGAACATTTCATATCAATTATTTGTCAGACAGAATTATGTAAAATACCCCCACCCTCGGAGCTAAATGAAGATCTTTAAAGTCCGCTGTGAAATAAAGAGTTACGTATGAAGGAGAGATTTTGTCCCCTGCTTGTAAAGCGCAATTATAACGTTACATTTTTTAAGGTGAGGTTCACCCTGTACAAGGCCCGAGGGGCACTCGAGGTAGAGGATTACATTAAAAATACAAATACAAAAAGCAAAACCGGGTAAGAAATGACAATTATATTAGCACTTAATGAAGAGCTGAAACCGACATGGATCATTTCTGCATTCCATGACCCACATCGCAAACGATTCTACCAAAAGAAGTCCTGCTGTCCCTCCCGAGGTCAATGTCCTGATGATGAGATGGAAGGGGGTCTATGCCTATGACATAAGTAATCATATTTTAGGATAAGAATGATTTTGAATAGAAAATCAACTTCTTCTACCAAGAAATGAAACTTAAGATGCACCTTTTCAAAACAGAATTTGTGATCTGGAATTGGAATGAAAGCAGTGACGGCATCGATGTCCTGAATCCATCATAAAAATACAGCATGTAGAATTAGTAAATACGAAACACTTTAGATACCTTTGTGTATGGACCACTTATAACAAATTAAGTATATGTAAAAAAGAAATTGAATATAGAATAGGCCTCGCCAGATGTAGTTTCACACAATACGGCAAATTGCTACGCAACCAAAACTTTACCTAAAACTCAAGTCATGGAAATAGTTTCGTCAGATGGAGACATCATACTTTGCATGACATCAACTCATTCAGAAATATCTAAACTGCCAATTGCATACAATTGCTTTCGAAGAGCAATGATTAAAAAAGGCATCGAGCGTGTAAAGCCTTGGCAAAGACCATACTTTTTTGAACATTATGGGTTGACGCTACTGAATTACAAAGAAAGAACTATGCCAAATAACAGAAACCACATTACTTGAGGACTACCAACAGCGGCAACAATTAAAATGGATAGCACATCTAACTCAAAGAGAAATTAATGACATAATCAAAATATTTTATCGTTCCACGATATTTTGAACAAAATGTTAGGAAGGAACCCCCTCCCCATCGATACTGGAAAGAGCGATAACAGATACTGGACTCGAAAAGCCTATTTTACTGAAAAAAAATTATGATTTTATAAATTCCAACCGAAGGCAGTGCTGGCTGCTTGATAATGAATGCCTAATGTTTCCTTATAGCGAAACGGCTAATATTACCATTCAATCAGTTAAGTCCCATACGTGATATGCGGTTGGGTGATCATGTGTCTTTTCATTTATGACTGACTAGGCAGGAGATATTCCTGCAGTAGGCGGCAGATTCTTTCTATGGTAAACTGGTTGCCAACCAAATATAAAGAACCCGGTTTGCTATTCAACCCATAGCCGAGAGAGAAAAAATGGATTAAAACCTTTCCCAAGGCTATTTGTGCGTAAGTGAATAAAAGGAAACCCTCACTGGAATTCGAACTCGGCTCACCGATTTTGCAATCCGAGCCGATATCTATTACACCACACACAGACATTACTGTTAACATTATGTAATATCGATTTCTTTGTGTAAAATCGATATGTTTGAGAACAGATGTTATCCATAAATCGTTATAACATCGTTATAACATCTCGCGATTAGACCTTCGAGAAATCACAACGTGAGATGAGAACTTCTCAAATAGGTCATCGAACCTTGCTATATCGTGATGATTTCACCTGGCCTAATTGGCAGGACGCACAGCTTGAAAGTGGTTTCCTGGATGGAATAAGAGAGTGCGATTTTGCATTTTCTTTCGTTGATTTTCTACATCTGTCTAAATAAGCGTAAAGATGTCAACTCAAATGGCTCGTTTACAAAAAATACAACTAAAATGCAACTTTTATAGCAATGCAATCTATCTTACATAACTATAAGCTTACTATTTGCCCATACTTTGAATATTGCTGCCATATACGGTCCGGTGCTCCTGCTATTTGTTTGGAGATTCTTGATAAAATCCAAAGAAGAATCAGCAATATTATTGGTCCTGATCTGGCGTCACGGCTTCAGTCACTTTCCCCCCTCCATAAAGTTTTCTCCCTGTGTCTTTTCTATAAATACTTTCATCGTAATTGTTCGGGTAAATTTTCCGCTGTGGTACCTAGATTTTATGAATTTTAGCACAGCACCAGATTAGCAACGAGGACTCATCAACTTACAAACCGCAAGTTCTATGCTAACAGTTTCTTTTCTCGCATTTCTCACTGGTGAAACTTTCTTCCATCTACATGCTTTCCAGCCAACTCTGATCTTCAAAAATTTAAATGCAATGTCAATCGTTATCTAGTATTTTTCTGATTACTTTCTTATCGTTCCATCTTCTTCATAATGTTTTCCGTCTTTTAATTCTTTCATACCTTGTAACCCCTTTTGTCTTAGTAACTTTACTCCCTTGCTTGCGGTAAATTCGATTTTAAAAAATCGTTATGTGTATTTTATCTTGTAACGGTGAGGAGATTCTGAAAGAACTAGAAGTCCTTCCATGATTCAATATTGGCGGCCGCAATGTTAACAACATAAAATATGCAGATGACACAGTGATGATAGCAAACCAGGAAAGAGAGAAGAAAGGACTAAGCATCAATTTTGAGAAGACAGAATGCGTAGTGGTATGCAAATTACAAAGTGAGGTTGCTGAAATCAAGCAAGTGAAACAATTTAACAATCTGGGAAGTGTTTTAACAGAGGACGCAAAGAGCGACACTGGAAGATTGGGATAGAGAAAGGTGCCTCCCAAAATCTAAGCAAAGTATTAAGAAACAGAAGAATGTCGTGAAAAACAAAGAAAAGAGTACTGAACTGGTATTTAATATAAGTCCTCTTATATGGCAGTGAATGCTGAAGGATTTCCTCATAGATGAAGAAAATACTTGAAGCAACTGAAATGTGGTTCTACAGAAGGATGCTGAGAAAACCCTGGACCTAACATGCGAACAAGAAAGAAGTTCTAGAGAAAACAGCAACAAAAAGAACACTTGCACACAGGAAGATATTGTTGAAGTTTCTAGAGCACATAATGAAGAAAGAGGATTTGGAAAATCTGATGCTCACAGGATAGATTGAAGGCAAGAGGGACAGAAAAAACAGCACATAACATTCTTAGCTTGACTAAATTGATGGCAGAACAAGGTTGAGGGCAAATAACAAAAGGACAAAATTTATTAAGAGCTACAAAGGACTGGAAATTGTGGAGAGCCATGATTACCAACATCCTGAAGGGACACATCACATAGAAGAAGAATGAGTTTGAGTAAATGGATGTCGGAACAAAGTTTAGGAGAGATAACAAAAAGACAAAATTTATTAAGAGCTACAAAGGATAGGAAATTGTGGAGAGCCATGATCGCAAACGTTCTGAAGGAACACAGCACATAGAAGAAGAAATATTTTATTATTTTCTTTTAGGCCATTTTCGCCTACACCAGTGATTTTGCTTACGTGGCTATGATACTTTTTAAAAATCATTTCACCCGCAAGCAAACCAATAAAGCCATTAAAACCCAAGGAGTTACTGGATGACAGAGAATATGAGAAAAATACTATTAAGGAGAGAAAACGATAAAAGAATAGAAAATAAGATGACAAAATATAACGATAAAGATTGCAGTTAAATTTTTGAAGATCAATGTTAACTGAGAAGCAAGAAGAAGGAAGAGAGTTCCACAAGCGAGAAGTGGAGGGGGACTTACGGTTACATCAAGCCATTTCAATTGTAAAACCTAACTGCCAATCTTGTACAAGTCAAGGTACCAAAAAGGAAAGTTTTGGATTTTATCAAGAATGTCTTAATATATAGCAGGTACAGCAGATTATATATGGCAGCAATATTAAAAACTTGGATAAATGATAGATTTATAAATATGTCAGATAGATTCTGACGAGAAAAATTGTCTCGAACAACCCAACGGAGCAACTTTCTAAGCAGAGGACTTAACAATTGATTCAGTATAATATTCCCATTTCATGTCAGCGGAAAATGTTAACCCAAGAAGGCGTAACGAGTCACTCTCGTGGAGGTTAGCATCAGCCATGCTAATGGAAGGCAGAAAGGAATTTCGAAGATGATTGGTAGAGAGCAGATTCACTTTGAAGCCGTTAAAATTAGCGAGGTATTCCCTGCTGTAGTTAACAGCCGTTTGTAGGTCATTTTTTAGATCAGCTCCCAATTTGACCTTATCGGACTAGTGAAAATTAGTTGATGATATCTGCGTTTAAAGGTAAGATAAAGTGATTTAATCAGCAAATGTTTGCAATATTTGACTAAGAACTCGTGTTAAAAAGGTGGAAAAGGCTTAGAGGCATATCACATTGAAACACTGGTTCTCGCATGATCACCAAAGTTAAGCAACATCAAGCCTAATCAGTAACTAGATAGGTGACTGCTTAAGAAAACCAGGGGCTGTAAGCTTGGATGTGTAGGTGGTACAATTGGTTTACGGCCATATCACGTTGAAATACCTGTTCACGTATGATCACCAAAGCTAAGCAACATCAAGCCTGGTCAGTACTGGATGGGTAACTGCTTTGGAATACCAAGTGCTGTAAATCTGACTGTGTGTGTATAACACCCCTCTCTTCCCATACACGTCTCCTAGGCTCCACTGGTCTAGTTTCGCTTTCTGTCGACATACAGCCGCTCAGTTCGGACCCCACTTGTTCCAATATCTCAATCCTCTCAAGGGTATTGAATAAGGAGAGTTAGACAGCTTCCAAACTGATTCAAGGATTGGTGCCAGGAAAAGTCGTCGATCATCCAGTCTTGGTTCTTCAATTGTTGTGATTCTTACTGACGAAGAAAGTTGATTTTTTTTCTTTTAGTCAATAAGCCGTGGTAAACTTCCTCTTGACGACTGAGTTGACTAGAAATAAGGCCAGGCTCTCACCGTACAAATAATTATGCCGGCTTTGGTTAAATAAGAACGATTTAATGAAAGTGAATAAAATAATTTACAATCTGATATATTTGGCATCTCGTAACACAAAAAGATCAGAAGGCAGCGACTTCTAATCAAAATCTGTGTGTTCAGGAAGGTTCAATCAAAAATTCAAGTGAATATTGGATCACTTCCTCGTACGGGTGTTCAACTGCGTGTGTGTCTGATGACCGTCTGTCTCTGTCGTCCCAGTCCATCTCTGCTGTATCCTTAAAATCGAGCTGAATTTAGACATAATTCTCCGCCCACATATCAAACTGTTCACACGCCAAACTAACTCAATTATCCATTATTTAATGTCGTGTTTAAAAGACTAAATTCTATGTTTTTGATTTTAACCCATTTCATACATTTTTAGAAGTCTATGAAGGAAATTCCGTTTAAAGACAATATTCGGCCATGACTGATCGGCTAACTTCTCTGTAGCTCAGTCAGTTAGATTAAGTCGGAAAATATTTTCCATTGTAGGCAGACGTATAAATCTTTTGTTTTTAATGACATGTCACTTCAGGATAATGATGATTATGACTCTCCACAATTTCCTTTTTTAAATTAATACCATGTGTCCCTGGATAATTGCGTATCTCAGATAATTTTTTGAAGCTTTTAAAGGCAATTACCATAAATTTCGAAAAAAGCATAGGTAGTAATCATAAATTTTTAAAAATGGAATAAAATAAAAATAATAAAATAAAAAAAATTTAAAACACTATTTACGTTGTTCGGACTATTGTCCTCATCTTTGTTGCCATATTTATCACAACGTTTCCGTTGTTGTACGGTCCGGCCTTCTTCAGGTGGTTGGAATATTGAACTGAACCCTTTATTCCGCTTGCTGGAGTAGACTGTTCTAGTTCCATGTGCCATGTCTAATGGATTTTAGTTATTAGTTATCTTCTGTTATTTCCTCTTTCAGAGTTATCCACTGCCTTGGAGAGGGGAATTAACAGGAGATAACTGATAACTAAAATCCATTAGACATGGCACATGGAACGACAACAGTCTACTCCAGCGAGCGAAATAATGGGTTCAGTTCGAAATTCCAACCACCTGAAGAAGGCCGGAGCGTACAACAACAGAAACGTTGTGATAAATATGGCAACAAAGATGAGGACAATAGTCCGAACAATATATATAGTGTACATAATAACTCATCGACAGGCACTAAAAAATTAAAAGTTTATTTTTGTTTAAAATGCAATGACAGATTAACAGTGCTGCAAAAGCATTCTACACATCGTCAGTATGTTTTTGTTTCATCGGCATTTTTCTTATGATAGTGGCAGCTATAATTTTCCCCGGCCACAAATATTTTTTCACCAGTGTTTAATTTTCGGAACTTAGCCATGGGTTCGAAATAAAAATATAATCTATAAAATCCGGAATCTGTTAGATGTTTGTGATAAGTACTGCTGGAGTCAACTAAAACTGCTGGTTTAATTTTCTCTTGCTTTAAAAAAGAAAATTTTCGCTTTTCTTTTATTTATGGTAACTAACTTTCTGCTTGTTAAGAGTACTTAAAGGTATTGATGTGTAAATTTCCATATCTAACAACTCTCTAAAAAATGTTAACATCAAAAAATTATCAGGGACGCTTTTGTCTTGAGACGCAAATGTCCAATGATGGAAATGTCCAGTACGCCACTGTCCACCCATCCATATTTATAAATTTACCATTCGTCCGTGCATTGAATACTGCTCCCATATCTGGTCTGGTATTCCTGCTATACATCTCAAGGTTCTCGAAAAAATCCAAAGAAGGATCTGCAATGTAATCGATCCTGACATCTCAACATGACTCACCTTCTCAAAGACGTGACGTGGCTTCCCTCTGTCTTTTCTACAAATGTTTTCATCGCAACTGCTCTGAAGAGCGTTTTTCTCTGGTGCCTCGACTACATGAATTCGACCGTACTACAAGACTGGTATCTAGGTTTCACACTTTTACTGTTGCAATAGTTAAATATAAACGCCACTTCTACTCCAACAGTTTCTTTTCTCGCACTTCCTGCCCGTGACACTCACTTTCGTTTCCTTGCTTTCCTGATAACTACAATCTTCAAAAAAATTAAATGCAACGTCAATCGCGATCTTCTATCTTCTTGAATCCCGTCCATCTTTTGTCCTTTCCTCAATCCTCCCTATACTCAGTTTTTCTCTCACATTCACACCCTGTAATCCCCTGCGTACTAGTGGCATTCCCGCCTCTCATGGGGTGAAATGATTAACATAATTTAAATACAACGTCAATCGCCATCTTCTGTCTTCTTGAATCCCGTTCATCTTTTGTCCTTTCCTCAATCCTCCCTGTACTCAGTCTTTTCTCTCAATTTCACTCCCTGTAACCCTCTGCGTTGTAGTGGCATTCCCGCCTTGCTTCTTGTGAAATGATTAAAAAAAAAAAAGAGAGCATTACATTAATGCGAATGGCAACGCAACGGACTAGACCGGAAATTGAACTCAGCTCACCGATTCTATTTGCCTCGCCAGTAACCGCTACGCTATCTATCGATTTTCTTTACGTAGGCTCGACTCAAGTAGAATTTCTTTGACACGAAAACAAGAAAATCGATTTGGTGGGAAAACATAAAGGAACGTCATTATCTATTCATCCTTGATTTAATCTTCTCGACAGAAACACTTATGACACGATCTGATGTGTGTAAATATGCACGAAGATATAACTGAGAATGCACTTACAAAGCAATTTGCGCATCACACTTATAAGCAATCGTAAATCTTCTCAGAGATAATCATGAAGCATTTTCTCACGCATCGTGGTGGAAGCCCTTCCGTGTTCGTTACCCCAGTGCGAGCAGGGCGTATTCCAGAGATTTTGTGACGTTTACAGGAAAGACATTTATAAATTTGAAAGAAGTTTAAACTCAAATCACCTTTAAAGTAGGATTCTCTGACTTCAAGACTTGCCAACTGTTGTTATTCCAGATTAAAGTAGACAATTATAAGAGCTCTTTGAACACATCCTACTAAGCAGTACTTGTTAAAGCTGACCCCATTGCAGAATGTAGTTGGTATGTGAAAACAATTTGGAAGCTTAGTATGCAGTAAAGTTTTGTGTTGACAGAGGTGTACATCAGAACTGTTCCTTACCCTCCCTCCAATCCAGACCTTGCTCCCTGGGACTTGATGGTTGTTTCCCATGCTGAAGGAGAACCTCAGGGGCAGTTGTTGAGAAGATTTTGTGAAGATGATGAAGCTGTGACAAGGTTCCTGTACACCTTCAGTTTGGTTGGCTTCCATGGCTACTCGATGAAGAGTCTGTCTTGATTGTAGTTAGATTTCGACAGCAAAGTGATGGTTCATGGCCATCAAAACTGCTCGCCTTCCCTACATTCCAGATCTTGCTCCCTGTGACCTTTAGTTGCTCCCCAAGCTGAAGGAGAAAAGTAGGGCCTGTTGTTTTGAAGACGAGGAAGGTCACCTGGACACCTTCAAATTGGATGACTTCCATAGGGACTCCATGAAGAGGAAGCGTTAACAAGAAAAAAAAAATGAAAGCATCCAATAATATCAATCATGAACACGGCCACAACATGCTAAATATGTTCGGAAATTAAAACGTTCTCATTTCTATAAAAAAATCTACACATTCAGACAAAAAAAAAACTTCCTTGATAATGGCTAACAGATTAGCTAAAACCGCTCTGATGAAACAAATCAGTTCTTGTCTATTCTGTGACCAAAATGAAATCATTTGCATGAATCCAAGAAAATTATAATAAAAGCTTAATCGTAGTGCCTTGTCAAGGTTCACGACAAAAATGCATTTTTGTTTTGATGCCAGTGCATCTCGACTGGCCGCATCGAAACAATAATGCATCTTTGTAGTGAGTAAGTTGTTTTTGTCCTTAATTATTGGTGTACTCTTGGTATTGAGCCCGCTTTTGAATTAATGCTGTGAACGTTAAAATTTATATTATTTTCATGTAAATATAAATATAAAAGTGAACATTGAAGTCAACACTCAGAAGCGACAGACTGTTTCATGCTGGACGCAATCGTCAGGCTGCCTGATTGAGCCCAGCATGAAACAGCCTGTCGCCTCTGAGTGTTAACTTCAATGTTCACTTGTATATATATATATATATATATATATATATATATATATATATATATATATATATATATATATATATATAACTCAATCAGGGCTCATTTAAACACACATGGAAACCTACCAAATTCCATCCACAACATACTCGTAGAAAAAACAGGGATTAAAGCCTCATGTAAAAATAAATAAATAAATAATGAAAGCAATAATAATAATAAAAATTCCACATTGCTGCTTTGATTAAAAGAGAAAATAATTCGACATCTGGGAAGTGCCTTGATCGTTAGTTCAGCCACAATAAATTTGCGTCCAGGCTCTTACAATATATCACCATTCTTGGCAGATTTTCTGTTGTCACAATGAGGGATAGTCAAGAACAAAATTGATGTGGAGAAAAAGAAAATGAATATAGATGACTAGATTGAAAAAATATTCTTTCAAAAAAAAAAAAAAAATCTTTGAACACAATATATATTTTTTTTAAAAAAAGTATTATTCCAAACATATTCTTTTAAAATATCCATTCAAAAATTATG